GGCTGTGTATGAAGCGTCTCTCCTTGGGGTGGAGGATGGTTAGCAGGGTTCACACTGGGCAATGAACAGAGTGGCCTCTGCAGTGACACACATACCCCTGCCTCACCCTCTGCTTGCAGAGATTGGGGTGTGTGGGGAGGTCCTCCCTGGTGGTGGAGTTGGTGTCAGAATGCAGCCCTACCTTTCAAAGAGCCATCAGGCTTTTACTATAAGTAATGGTCATGTTTAGAGCAAGAATGACATGTCCTCACTCACAGTAGATCCCCCAGCTGCATGTCCAATTATGGCCTATGTTCTCTCCTCAATATTTGTATTGTTTTAAATGTGGATACCACTGGGGAGTGGAAATTGGGGATGGGGCAGAGGACTACAATTTTTCATTAAAAGCTTTAAAAATTGCCCTGTCCAGTGTAGCTCAATTGGACGTCATCCCTGCACAAAAAGTTGCTGTTCCATTCCCAGTCAGGGTACATGCCTGGGTTTCCGGCTCATCCCCGGTGGGAGGTGTGTAGGAGGCAGCCAATCAGTGTGCTCTCACATCGATGTTTCTCTCTTCTCACTTCCTCTCTCTCTAAAAATCAATGAACTATTCTTAAAAAAAAAAAAAGCTTAAAAAATCTAAATTTTGTACATGTATAGCTTTGAGAAAAATATTTTTTAAATCTCTGCTACTTCTTTTTTGTTATAGAAGTACAGTGGTAGTCTCCGCTCAGCCTAGGCCCTAGGGGGATACATTCCCAAAGCCCCAGTGGATGCCTGAAACCATGGATAGTACCGTACCCCATATTTACTGTTTTTTCTCCTATAAATACGGACTTTTTTACTTAAAGGAAGCACTTTATGGCTCCTCTTTGGCATATCTGAATTGCACTTTGGGGTCATTACTAAGTAAAATAAGGGTTATTTGAACACAAGCACTGTGATATCAAGAGTGTTGATTCGATATCCAAGACGAATGGGTAGGTAGTGTATGCAGCATGAATATGCTGGACAATGGGATGACTCACGACCTGGGTGAGAGATTTTAGCATGTTACTCGGTGCAATTTAAAACGTATGAATTGTTTATTTCTGGAATTTTCTATTTAATATTTTTGGACCATAGTTGACGGTGGGTAACTGAAACTGCAGATGGCAAAACCCTGGATAAGTGGGGGAATGCTCTAATACATACTCAATGGGAAAAATTTAGGAAATTCAGAGAACTTTCTCCAAGATGCACCATCCAGAAATACATATTTACTATTGACCTTTGTTCTAGATTCTTCCATATTTTCTCGACATATACATAGATATATTTTTAAAACAAAAATGGATCATGTAATAACATTTTGATTTTGTTACTTAATATATCTTTATAACAAAATCCTAAGTCAAAGGATATACATTTGATACTATAGGACTTAGGACCCTTTGCTTCTAAGTGCCAGCATTTCAGGGTTAAGCACTTTAGGTAAAAAGGGGACAGGATATAGAAACGGCAGTGGAAATAAGTGGATTCCAGAACTTAATGCCTCCAGCTCTCTGAGCCTCTTCTCTCTTTGGTTTCTTTTTATGTAATTGGTTCATTGTTCTCTTTTACTGAACATTGGTGGGAAATACTAGGACTGGTTGTAGAGTTTTACAACTTCCCATTTTAGCTCTCAGAGGAGATAAATCCCTGAGTTTTATAGACCACCAAAGGGCTCACTAGGATTGCTTAGATCCTCTAGCACAGCGGTTCTCAACCTGTGGGTCTCGACCCTTTGGCGGTCGAATGATCCTTTCACAGGGGTCGCCTAAGACCATCCTGCATATCAGGTATTTACATTACGATTCATAACAGTAGCAACATTACAGTTATGAAGTAGCAACGAAAATAATTTTATGGTTGGGTCACAACATGAGGAACTGTATTTAAAGGACCAGAAGGTTGAGAACCACTGCTAGCCCCTTGTGGTTGTGAAAGATTCTTGTACAAACCTGGTGAATGGAGTGGAGGAAGAATTTTAAGTGGAGGAAGAATTTCAATTGGAGAAAGAATTTTAAGAAGAATGGCCTAGGAAGGGGGACCAAGCTGTTAACAGAGAAAGGGAGGATTCAGGGCAGAGAAAATAAGAGCATCCTCAATGAATATGTGTTGATAAATAGTGCTCCAGAGAATATATATCGATATTCACTCCCTGGAGCAGTGTGTGAGCTGCCTGTTTTCCAACAGTCTTGCCAGCACTGGAATTATCATCTATCATAATAAAAGCGTAATATGCTAATTAGACTGGACAGCCGAATGACCTTCTGGACGTCCTTATGGACGACCTTACGGATGAAGCCAGGGCTTCGGGGGCTGAGGGAAGCCGCCACAGCTGCAAGGGCCGAGCACCTTGCACAAATTTCATGCATCAGGCCTCTAGTATAAAAGAAAATCTTTGGTTAATTCGTTTAATGGGATTTACTTGTTTTTTTGTTTTTTTTTCCTGAATTCCTGCAAAACGGATAGCCCAGCACTATTTTCCATTAATGCTTCCGGGAAGAACCCCGTCAGCACTTTTGTGTTATGTTCTCCCTCTCACTGATAGTGTTTCCCGATGTGGGGGTGGGATCCATTTTGAAGGTGACCCAGAGTTGTCAGTTTTGACCATTGTGACATCATGTGCTGCCTCTTCCTGGCACAGGAATGATGATTATACAAGAACACACATGAGGGGACGCCGCAGCAATAGCAAAACCACATGCCCCGCTGGGTGGCCTAACCTAGATTTCTGCCCTGAAAAGGGACTGTGGCAGGATGAGCAAGAGAAGTCTTTGATTGAACTTGACTCTTTACTAAAATGCAGACTTGGATCTTGTGGGACTTTTGGACAAAGATATCAGGACCCTTTAAACTTACCAGAAAACATGTTTTCTTAAGGGTTCTGCCTTTCTTCTTAGTGGCTAGTGGGAGCAGGGGTGCATCTGCTCCTCTTCTAGTTGTGAATGAAAAAGGGGCCACATACTAACCCTGACAAGCTCAGGGGAGGCCTGTATGAGGGCCTTACAAACTCTGAGACCCAAAGTCACCACATAGGATGGTCTGAAATTAAAACTTTCTAGGTAAAAGGGAGACATGGTCGGTTGTCATGTCCTAGGCCGGTATCTTTCTTGACCAAGGTCAATCTTTACCTTAAATGAGCCTGTCTATTGCCTTTTTGCATTTAGGATACCATACCTTAGGAATTTCAGGGTAATTTCCTCTTTCCCCCCAGGCCCCTCAGCCAGGGCACAACCCCCACACCAGAGCAGAGACCACAAATCCCCTCATTGTTATTGTTATCGTGTTAGTTGTTGACTGTTAACTATCTTATAACAACCTCTGTAAAATAAGTACATGTCTATTTGTTTTATTTTTTATCCAATCCCAGAGATTCCCCATTTTGCCTTCTCCCACCTCCCTAATCTATCGCCAGTGGATTTCATATAACCCCCTTACACCTCCTCCTTTGATGGTAACGTGTAAAATAAGCTGCAAAACTGCCATTCTCAGGAGCATTTTCTCAATCTGTTGAGATTCTGCTTCCCGGCAATTGTCATCAGTTTGGCTCAAATAAACTCACACAAATTCTCTACAGGTTTGAATGGTTCTTACGTTGACATGGTTTTATGCAAATCATATGGAAACTTGAGTATGAGGGACCAGTACGGTAGCTCAAATTTGGATGCAGGCTGTGGCTAGAACTGCTTCCATCCTGTGGCCCTCAAAGATGGGGGCGGGGGGGGGGTGGTCAAGGGCAAGGATGGGGGAATTTGGAGGGTAATATTTACCCAAGTCCTGGGACCTGTCACAGATAGGGAGTTGCTTTATGTGGGAGTGGCTGGTATCTGTCAAGTCAAGCTGTGTGTGGGCTGCCTTTTTCTTAACACTATTTAATCTTTGACTTATATGGTCTAATTCTAACCTGTTTTTATTGGGTGTTTTAGCCATAAAATCCCAAATGTGAAAGTGACCTTTTCGCTAGTCCCCTAGCGTGCACCTGCCACTGTTCATCTAATCTTCACCTACATGACCTCTGCTCTCTCAGATGGAGAATGGCCCTCCTTGTAAGATACATGTATTTTTTGGCCAGTGTCAATGTAAAAAACATCCAAACCTGTAAGAATTTTTGTGAGTTTATTTGAGCCAAATTGATGATAATTGCTATAAAGCAAAATCTCAATGGATTGAGAAAATGGCACCTCTACCACTTATTTTATACATCAGAATCAAAGAGGAAGATACAAGGGGGTTTTACTTACATAAAATTTATTGGTGATAGATTAGGGAGATTGGATAAAGAGTAAAATGGAGAGATACTTAATTTACATTGGTGGGTACAGGATGTCCACAATGAACATTTACAGCAAGCACCTAGCGATGGTATTGGGGGAACAAAAGAACAATGCGGCGTTCCTGGTCTCCTGCTCTTCTGTGGAAGTTGTGCCCTGAGGGGTTTGGAGAAGGAGATTACTCTGACTTTCCAAAGATTACATTATCAGGTATGTTACTTTAGGTGAAAAAGACGACTGGCTCAGTTAAGGTAAAGATTGACCTTGGTTAGGGAAAAAATACCGGCCTAGGACATGACTACCTGCCATGAACCGCTCTTGTTAGAAAGTTTTAATTTCAGACCATCCTATGTGGTTACTTTAGGTCCCCGAGTTTGTAAGGCCACCACGTAGGCCTCCCTGAGCTTGTCAGGTTTAGTGTGTGGCTACTTTTTCATCCACACCATCATAATGGTTTTCACGTGGCTGAGCCTGGTGCCTGCCTGGGAGCTCTGTTGGTGTGCCTCAGGACACCCTGCCTCTACTCCAGAGGCACACGTCCAGCTCTCAGGAAAGCTTCGTCACACGGTGGAACTGGGAGTCAGAGAGAAGCTGGCGGCCCCCTGCCCCTGACAGCACCCTGCCCCTGACTGCCGGTTTGCACCGGTGTGCTGTATTTAAGGAGATAGGCCAAAGTATTTGGTCCCATAGTTTGTGTTTAGAATAAAAATACAGAGAAGGTGGTCATTTATTAAATAGGTTTTATTGAACACCAATTTAGTTTTCAGAACATCTCAGATCCATTGTCAAAGATAAAAAGTTTTACAAGCTTAATATGTACCCAGTCCTAGTTTTAGACCTTTACATGTATTTTGATTTCATTCTCATGAAAGACCTGTGAGGTAGATACTCCTGTTAATGTCCTCATTCTACATATGAGGAAACTCAGGCCCAAAAAGGTCAAGCAAGTTGCCCAAATAGCACAGCTGGTTGGAGTCTGGGGAGCTGGGATCCCACACAGTCAGGCTCCAGTGCCTGTATCTAAGCTCCACACCTTGGGTTTCACGCTCAGTGGACCTTCACATGCTCAGGAGGACATGTGGTTACAGACTAGCATTTCAGCAGCACTCACAAATGAAGGCTTTCTTGGCAGGATATTTCTTTAAGATGATACTCAAACATTTATTTTTAGTAAAATTTATTACGTACTGGTAACACATACAAGTATGAATGCACGCTGCTTGATTGTAGTATTTGTAGTTGGAGCATAAAAATACCCTATAATGAGGTTTTATTTATTTTTAGTTTTTTGTTGGTTTTTTTTTTTTTTAATTTGGTCTTCCACCTTTCTGGTGTCTGTGGACACAAATTTGGCCTTGAGTTGTGGCCATGTACAATAGAAAAACAACAGCTACCATTTACTGAGGGATTATAGCTAGCTCTTTATGTGCATTATCTTTTTAAGTTCCTAAATCAACTTTAAGTATCCTTGTTGTTATTTTACAGAAGAGGAAACTGAAGTTTATATAATGTGAACTGAGGTCGGAGAGGACATATCAGCTAATAAATGAGAAGGGCAGGATTCAAACCCAGGTCTCCCTGATTCCAAGGCATGTGCAGATGAGCGCCACACCCTCCATAGGCTTGGTGGACTCTGGGCATCATGAGACCACATTATGTCAGAGTCCAGCATGTGCACACATGTACCTCTGGAATTCAAACAAGTGTTATTGAGCACTAGCTAAGTTTTGGGCATACTCCTTGGTTTTGGGCATACACTGTCAAAGATACACCATTTTGAAAGAGAAATTGGAAGGACAGGTGAGGTAAGAATTAGGGAGAGCTTTTTAACTCTTTTACACGTGTTCTCATTTCATTCCACACACAATCCTATGTGATAGGTGCTATGATTGTTATCACCCTTCTACAGACCAGGAAACTGAGTCCCGTGTATATTGCTTAGTGAATAGATATCTTGGGCTGAAAGGGTCAATATAGCCTTGGTGGTACACAATGTGCCAGGCGTATATGGTGTGCTATGTAAGAAGTATTATGTTCGGAACTAGCCATGCTCTGACTTGCAATTCCATTTAATTGTGCCGTATTCATACATCCAGTTTCTTAACTTAGACTGTTAGCCCCTGTGAGCAGAAGTCCTGTCTCTGAGGTCTCACTCTTACCCTGGCTGGACCAGAGCTGGCAAGAATTCCCTCCTCAAAATCTTTACGGACTGTGTGTGTCAGGAGCATGTGAGGGGATCTAGTTGTGGGTGTAAAGCCACAGAATTCTGTGTGTCAAGTGTGAAAATATTGCTGACTTTTGAACCCAGGGCTCCTCTTTTCTCCCTTCCTGGGAACATAAGAGTATATGATAAAATCAGAGTCGTTTTCTTAAGGGAAGCATTAGTATGTAATTTCAGCACAGGCGGGTCTCTCTGTCCTCCAAGGACTGGGCATGGCCAGCCCTGCTGTAGCTGGTTGAAGGGGACCAAACCTCTCAGGAAGACGGACTTGGTTCCGTTTGACCAGCCAGAGCAGGAGGCAGCTCCATCGGGAGTGGCTGCAGGCAACCGCTAGTGTGAGGATTCCTTGGTATATTCCAAGCCTGCAACACAGAGAGAACCAGCATTAGCATGAGTCAGATCCCAGTGGATTGCCTTGCCCAGAACATCCTCTCACGGGATTTGTGAAAACCATACATAATTTTTATTTTGAATTGCATGACTTTATTTCCTTTCTTTGATCCCTATTATTTTTTCAAATATAAACATCATGAAGAACTAAAAAGATACAGAAAATTGTAGAATGGAAAACAAAAGTTTCTCATAATTCTCTCTCCTCCCATCTTCCAAAATAAATTTAACATTTTGGTTTATATTATTCGAATATCTTACATTTTAATTCTTATAATACTAGTAAATTAAAAATTATGGGTTTTTTTATTCAAATGGGATACATATGTAGAAGAATATATGTAATACATATGTAAGTTGTGACACATAATGATAAAACCAATATCCACAAACAATCATCTACTTAGAAAGAGAACCTTACCAATATTATGAGGCTTCTAGAATGCTTTTCCCAATTTAGTTCTTTAATTTCTCCTCAGAGGTAACTATTATTCTGAGTTCCTTTTAAAAATATAGTTGTTACCATTTGTGCATATATTCCTAAATAACATCTTGCTCATTTTTTAATATAATGGCATCATACCATAGGCATTCTTTTGCGACTTGTTATTTTCAGTTCAAATGTAAACTTCCCCTATAGTGATTGGCAGCTGCAGTTTATTCATTTTTATTGTTTTAGAGTTTTCTAATATGTGAACGCACTACATTTTATTGAGTAATTATTTTTTCGGCGATAGACATGAAAGTTGTTTGGTTTGACAAATGTGTGACATGGAAAACTTTGATTCTTGTAGATTTTAAAGGAGAAATCTGGATTCCAGTGGGAAAGAACTTATGGGGCGACCTTGCAAAAGAAAAGCAACATCTGGGGGTAGAGCCAGACATTTGTGTTGTAACCTGCTCTTCAAGTGATTCTGATGCAGCTAAAGTTTGAGAACCACTGGGCTGGAGAGGTACCTACTGGTGTCTTCCTATTTCTGAGTGTGATCAAGGGGGTAGGGAGGTGATTAAGCAGGAGACTCCCCCTAGTAAGGCAGCCTGGCTATCTGCATGCTGTATTTGAACAGGTGGGGAAAGAGGAAGGAAGGAAGGATAGTTTAAATGATGTCAGAACTGCCCTCGGGGTAGGGGTTACCTGCCCTTTTATTTTTTCTCCCCGATGAAGAGAAGTGTAATTGAGTAGAAAGCCTGTGGTCTTGGTGTCACACTTACGTGATTTCAAATACCACTTGCTTCCCGGCTCTACATTTTATTTAGTAATTTGCTCTTAGGAAGTTACGTCACATCTCTAAACCTCAGTTTCACATCTGCGTAGTTGGGGAGGGTAGCTGCCTTGCCTATCTGTCGCAAGGCTTAGTGAAAACAAAGGAAAGGTGGCCAACACTAAGTCCCCAGTGGGCACGATGGACACTCTCAGGGGTCGGGGAGTCTTAGAAACAATTCTGACTGTTTTTGAGGCTAAGAGTTTCACTCTCAACGCCAACCTGTCCTTCATGTATATTCCTTCCATCAGCACAGGTATGTTTATGTCATCTATGGAGTTGGAAACCACTTCAGGCAAAGCAGAACTGTTTTAAACCAGGCAGATATCTGCCAGATGGACCCCCTCTTGGGAGCTCTGTCCGGAATAAGATAGTCCAGAAATCAAAGAACTTGGTTCTAGGATGTCCGGGCAGGGTGATGTTGAGGCTTCTTTCTCGTGCGGAATCTCCTCTTTCTTGGCATGCATCCCACTGGCTCAGCACCAGGCATCTTACCTTCACCCTCCTTCTCCTACCAATGATGGGGGGTGGGGGATGTCTTAGATGGCAGTTCAGCTCTTCCTGTGGCTAACCTAACCTTGCCCTAGCCCAGCCATCCTTCCTCAGGTCCTCCTGGGGAACAAGGGAGTAGGCAGCCACCCAGTCTGCCACCCAGTCTGAAATCAGGATGGAAAGAGTGTGTGGGTCCAGCTCGTCACTCAGAACGTCATGCCTCTTAATTTCTTCAATCAGGACATTTCTCTTCATCATCTCTGTCTTCTTCTTTACTCACATCCTGCCCTGCTCACACAGCACACCCCCGATTTCTGAGCAGATGACATGCAGTCAACCTCCAGGGTAACAAAGGGAAAGCTATCTTTAGAGCAGGTATGATTTAGAAAAAGGAAGGGTTGTCATCGGAAAGAAGCAGAATTTTGAGGCAGCTGCCTAGTTTCCAGGCATGAGTATTCATAAAGCAAAGACAGTAATTTTCTTCGGAAGATAATAAGTCACAATATGCTGATGTCAGAAACCTTATTCATTCAAAGCACAGCCGTCTAAAGCAGGGTTTCTCAACCTTGGCGTGTTGACCTTGGGGTCAGTCGAGTCTTGGCTGTGGAGAGCTGTCCTGGTACATTGGAGGGTGTGCAGCAGCATCTGTGATCTGTACCCATTAGAGGCCAGTAGTACCCCTGGCTGTCACAACTAGGAATGTCCCCAGACTTAGCCAAATGTGCCCTGGGGGCAAAACCACCTCCAGTTAACAACCACTGATGTAAAGCTCCCAGTTTCTGTGTTCAGTCTTATAACTGCTCCATCTCTAGTCATTCTCCCACATTCTTTCAAGTTCTCCTCATTCCCCAAAGAGTACAGGTTAGCATGTCCTTGAAGGTCAATAGGCAGCTGCTGGTGTCTGGATGAGGTAGGTGGGTGCTGTCCCCTGTGTTGCTGCAGCCTGCTGAGGGGTGTGGCCCGTTGTACTCTGAATGCCTTCACCTGAGGGAAAGGCACCCTTCCTCTCCGGCCACTGTGCACGTATCTGCTGTCTGCTCTCTATATAAATACATACATGTGCATCCTCCCTTTGTCCTTCCCTTTCCTCCTCATCCCATTTCCTCTTTTTGCTGCATCTCAGTTCTCTTTTATAGCCTCCTCCTGTACACTTTGGATCACACCTGGTGTCTCCTTTCATGGTTCTGCTTAAGAACTCAGAGTGTACATTTAGTGTGGGCCCTTCCCTCACACATTCACGCTGCAGCAAGAAAGCCAGCTGTGGCCTGTGGGCAGCCAGCCTGGAGCTGGGGTTAATGAGGGAGGGAGACCCCTGCAGCCCCCTCCCTCATTCCAAAACGCTGGGGCAGGGGATGGCCTGCGCTGTGGGTGACTGCAGTTTCTCCTTCTGCTCAGAGCTTCTCTCCCTAAGTCCATCTCCACCTCCTTCTTGGTGTGGGCTCAGCCATTTAAGGTCGGGGCTGGGAACACAGGGGATCAGGGAGGAGGAGGGAGAGGGGCTTAGCCAATTAGATGAGTGAATCACCATTTTAGCACCTCAACCTTTCCCCCTAACAGTCTCATCCTAAGGTTCTGCTTGGCCACAGGGCCTAGTGAAAATGATAGCAGATCAGGGTCAGGGGCCTGACTCTGTGACCAGAGGCTGTGGCCTCCTGGGCTCAGAGCCCCTGCCTTTCTAACTGCAGTGAGAGCCCTAGGAAATGTGCAAACTGCCATGGACACAGATGATTATAAAGGAAAGGACTGATCTAAAAGAATCACAGTTCAATTTGGTTCTTATTGGAAACATCTCCTTTCAGGAGCAGAATGGCTGGAGGAAGGAGCTTGGAGGGCCGGACTGATTCTGTGAAACACCTTTAGGTGATAGGGCCTCTCCCTGCCCAGGAGGCCTGAGGTCAGCTGCGTGCGGGGTTCTGGGGCTGAGTGATGGGACCTCTAGCGAGAGAAGGGCCCGTGGGAGAGCAGCCAGACAGATCCAGAGGCTCTCTCTCCATTGGTGAGGGAGACGCCTGTGCCACAAAGCCCTGGTGAGGAGGAGGGTCAAACCTGTTCTCTGGTTAGGACCATGGGACCAGCGAAGAGGCGCTCCCCGAAACCACACACTTCCTTACATTCCATAGCAAAGTAATCGTATGGGGATATAAAGAAGCATGTGGCCTCGGGAAGCAGTTTTGGCCCAGGCTTTGTCCACCTTCCAGATGCAGCCGGCATCTCAGCTGTGGGCCACTCTCACCTCTCTTCTCCTCTAGCTGGGAAGCGCTTAGAGGGCAGGACCACTAGGACCCCCTCCCCCCACCCTCAACCCCCCAAACCATCTTGGAAGTATCTGTGAGGAATGGCAGTGCTTTGGGGGACCCTATTTCTCCCCTGCTGTTTGTTCAGAAATAAACAGCACCCAAGTTTCACCGGCTTATTTTGGTGCAGCTATAATCTTTGTTATCACTATTCATTAAGTTAATAGCTGCTGCTTTACACATTTCAGTAGGATTTTAATGTTTGAATTCCCATGAAGGGAACATTTTTTAAAAAGAGAGGAAATTCAACAGAGAGGTATTCTGCATATGCATGAAGAACAAATCCCGCTTAGAAACAGAGCCAAGCCCTCCTGGGTTTCCTACTGTATGTCTGCTGTGCGCGTGGTGAAGCCTGCAGCTGCCGGGGCAGCATTCCAAGCGCGATTGTTCATTGTGGGAAGGATTTTGCTGTTTGGCTTCTGCTCCCCCAGCCCATCACCTGCCCCACAAGCTGTGAGGCCGGAGCCACGGAAGAGTGAGGGACGCTGGCAGCTGTCGGGCCACTGGGGTCTGGACAGGCCACCCCGGCTAAAGGGCAGTGGGGATTTCAGCTTCATGACCTTTAATTCACTACCAGAAAACAGGGAGTATGACAACAGAAAAACTGCACCCCAGAGAAGGTTTGAGGCTCATAGCACCGACGAGGGCTTAATGAAATCTAATGATAAAAGTAATAAAAAGAAGAGTGAAAATTTTTTCAAGCTTATTCTCTATGACAGGGATCACTTTCGGTGCTTTGCATATACATGCTACTTACATCCACTACTCTATGAAGCAGCTATTATTTTTACCTGGTTTTACAGATGAGGGTCATAGAAATGAACAGGTCTACATATATGTAAATAGTAATTCTTTAAAAAAAACTAATCAGGTTGGAGGGATGGTCTTGAAATAACCCTTAGCGAAAGGTGTAGAATGTAAGAG